GGGTTGTAATCATTTCGAACGAGACTCTCATATAATTACGATCGAACTTCACTTAAGGTAAGTTCGTTTGATCGTTAATTATCTATCGAGTCTCGTTCTCATGATTACACTGGTAGTTGTTCAGAGGTACAATTACTTAATTATTTTGTTAAAATATGTTTATTTTAATATCGGAGATATACAACTGAAAATTCTTTATTGAATATTTGTATGAATTAAGTTTATGAATGTGAGTAAACGGACTTTTAAAAGTCCGACTAAATAATAAAAAACAGAGACGGTTAAGTATTTTGAAGAATAGACATTGCAAATGAGTTCGAAGACGAGGTGATTGGTCTGTGGTAAAATCTTACGAAAACTTGGGACTATTCTGACCACCCTGCTGTGCTTCTGATTTTTTGTAGGTCGAGTCCCTTGGAGAATGCCTTGGACGTGGAAGCGTGTCTTGTGCTATGTCCTTTGAATTCGGTTATGTTCAGTCCGTTTTTTAGGAGGACTGATTTTATCCAGCGGCTAATCGTTTGTGGAGATGCAGCTTTATGAGGCTTCGTATAAGTTATAAATAACATTTTTGTGTTTCCTCTTAATTTTTTAGTCCTTTGCAGGTAATTTTCGAGTGTTAATGCTACACACAGAGCGGGTTTTTCTTTGAATTTTGGCAAGACCAACAGAGGCTGGAATTTTCCTGGTCCGGAGGTTTTTATGGTGTCTGGAATCTCGATTTCGATGAAATCGCTTTTTCTTAAGATGTTGTTTATATCGATTAACGAGAGCGTTTGGACTCTATGAGCTGTCGTGAGTGCTAGTAAAATGGTAAGCTTCTCTGTCAGCTGCTGCAAAGATAATTTTTCTGGTGGGGCCCAACTTTCTATAAATGATAATACAACCGAAGTGTCCCAGGTTCTTCTGTATTTTGGTTTTGTTGGCCGATTTCTAAATACACCTTTGAAGAATTTTTGAATTAGGTTGTTTTTAGACATGTCTATGTCCAAGATATTTCCTAGTGCAGATGCTCCCGCTTCAAATTTTTCTGTAAGGTATTCCAAGACGTCGTTGATTGTAGCCGAGTAAGGGTTGCAGCTCTTGTTTTTGCAAAATGTCCACTAACTTTTAAAAACAGATTCGTATTGCTTGATTGTTGTGGCTGCTAGTGAATTTAATAGGACATCTATGACTTGCTCGCTGACTCCTTTTCTTATATGCGCCGTCCTGAGAGCTTCCCGACCTGAAGTGTAAGGTGTTTCGAAAATGGGCGTGTCAGGGCCGTGCAAGGTGAGTCCGAAAGGGCACAACGAGGATTAGGACTGCTTTTTTATTAATTATTTTTTGTAAGACTCTAGGGATTAGAGCAAAGGGGGAAAGGCATATAATTTTTTCCCCTTCCATGATATTGTAAATGCATCACTATCTTTTTGCCAAGTGCAATATAATCGGCATTTTTTATTGATTCTCGAGGCGAATAGATCTACTTCCATCGTTCCATAGGTTTTTTCGATTTTTTGGAACGCGTATTTTGCTAGCTCCCATTCAGTATCTGAGGCAAAATTCCTGAAATGTCCGAACAAAAAATTAAAAGTTCTCGAATTTAATCCATACTCTTCTAAAATGTTGTTATTGTTGGTGAAAGTCTAAAAATCAATTATTATTGAATTTAATAAAATAGGTTTTGAATTACAACGTTTTTAATTTTTGACTTTTGAAAAAAAAAATTTTTTTCAATGTACAATATTTATAAGTAGAATGCATAAAAGTTAACATATATATAATGCTTTTTAAAGCTTTTTTAACGGGCTACACGCTGTTAATAAAATTTTTTTTTTAAATAACATTTGACCTTGAAATTCAAGGTCAAAATGTTAATTTACGCTTATCTCAAAATCGGATTTTTTAAAATTATTTTTAACTATCTCAATGGAAAGCTTGACTAATATCTTACAAAACATGTAATTTTCAGAGTGGGATCTTTTAAAGTTTTTAAGATATTAATTAATTAATTAATCAATGTTTATAACAAATCAAATATTTTACAAACGAATAAAGTTACCGTAATTCTGAAGTTAGTAATTGAAAGTTAACGTAATTCCGCATCCAACGAGCCCTATATGAAGTATTTTAGATAAGTAGATTGTTTATAAACAATTAGTTAACATTGCAATTGTTTATTAACAATCTACTTATCCAAAATACTTCATATAGGGCTCGTTGGATGCGGAATTAGCTTAACTTTCAATTGGTAAGTTCAGTATTACCATAACTTTATTTGTTTGTAAAATATTTTATTTTTTACTAACAACAAGCATCCAAAAGCCCTATATGAAGTATTTTTGTTCAATTTTAGTTAAATAACAATAAAAAATAAAATATTTTACAAACAAATAAAGTTATGGTAATACTGAACTTACCAATTGAAAATTATGCTAATTCCGCATCCAACGAGCCCTATATGAAGTATTTTGGATAAGTAGATTGTTAATAAACAATTGGAATGTTAACTAATTGTTTATAAACAATCTACTTATCCAAAATACTTCATATAGGGCTCGTTGGATGCGGAATTACGTTAACTTTCAATTACTAACTTCAGAATTACGGTAACTTTATTCGTTTGTAAAATATTTGATTTGTTATAAACATTGATTAATTAATTAATTAATATCTTAAAAACTTTAAAAGATCCCACTCTGAAAATTACATGTTTTGTAGGATATTAGTCAAGCTTTCCATTGAGATAGTTAAAAATAATTTTAAAAAATCCGATTTTGAGATAAGCGTAAATTAACATTTTGACCTTGAATTTCAAGGTCAAATGTTATTTAAAAAAAAAATTTTATTAACAGCGTGTAGCCCGTCAAAAAAGCTTTAAAAATCATTATATATATGTTAACTTTTATGCATTCTACTTATAAATATTGTACATTGAAAAAAAATTTTTTTTTCAAAAGTCAAAAATTAAAAACGTTGTAATTCAAAAACTATTTTATTAAATTCAATAATAATTGATTTTTAGACTTTCACCAACAATAACAACATTTTAGAAAAGTATGGATTAAATTCGAGAACTTTTAATTTTTTGTTCGGACATTTCAGGAATTTTGCCTCATCTATGTTCGTAATTCTGGATTGACGGTCAGCTATCGTGTTTTTCTTAGATTCTATATAAGTGGCAAACAACCATAAATTTCTTATTTCTGCCCAGGTTTAGATTTTTCGAGTTAATTTGTTGTATGCTGGAAATAGCGTACCCCCCATGCGATTTATATATGACAAAGCTGTTGTGTTATCGATTTTTATTAGGATTTCTGCGTTTTTTAGTTTATTTGCAAATTTTATTAAGGCTAAGAAGGCCGCTAATAGTTCTAGGTAGTTTATCGAGGATTGTTTTTCTTCTTTCGTCCAGAAACCATGGAGAGTTTCTTCGTTACATGCGGCTCCCCAACCGCTTAGGGAGACATCGGTGTAAATTGTTAATTTAAAATTTGATTTTTTGATAGGGTTACATGACGATTTTAACTGTGTTTTCCACCAATTCATATCATTGTATGACTCTTCTGATATGGTCATGAGTTTATTGTAATTCCTACAGTTTTTCTGAAGGGAGTTGTTTTTATCTATTTCTAAATTTTTTGAGTATAACATCCCGTAATTTATTCCTGGGCAGCATGCGATTAATGATCAGGTTAAACGCGCGAGGTCTCTAATTTTATAAGCTTTCCTTTTTTCGAAGTTTTTAATTATATTTATCAATCTTATTCTTTTTTCGTTAGTAGGTTCGACTGTCATTTTTGTCGAGTTAATGATAAATCCTAAAAATTTACATTCATACGCTGGGTTGAGGGAGCTTTTTTCCCAATTGATTATAAACCCTAGACTTTCTAGTAGTCTTATGGATTCGTTTCGATTTTCAATGCAGTTTTGGTGGGTTCTTCCAAACAGGAGTGTATCGTCGAGATAAACGGTTGATCTGAAACCTAAACTTCTCAATTTACTGATTACCGGTTTTAAATTTTTTGTAAAAACAAAGGGACGTAGACACAGGCCAAAGGGTAAGCAAGAAAATTGATATAACTAACCATTAAATGAAAATCTTAAAAATTTTCTGGATTTTTTGTCGACAGGAACGAGCAAAAAGGCATCTTTAAGGTATAGAGAACACAGGAGGTCATTTATCATTAATAATTTGCTTGCTGTATGGATATTTTTCATTTTAAAGTGTTCTGTTGATATAAAGTTATTTAGACCTTTTAGATTTAATATAAATCTATCGTCGCCATTAGGTTTTTTGGTTAAAAAGTAAGGAGATAAATATTCTCCTTTTTCTGAGACACAATTTTCGACTGCACGAATGCCTTGTAATTTTTTAATTGCGTTTGCAAGGGCTGTTTTTTCCTCGTCGGTATAGTTTTTCTCTAGGGGTGAATAATTTTGTACAACAGGCCTATTAAATTCAATTTGGTACCCCTTGATACATCTCAGGACGAATGGGTTAGTAGTTATGGATTCCCACGTTTTATAATAGTATTTAAGTTTGACCTTTACTTGCGCTTGGGTCGGTTCGGTTGGTAGCGTCTCTGCGGCTGATTTTTGGTCCTTGTTGCCGATGAGTAATGTTCTTTCGGCTGCGTCTGGAATTTTGTTTTGTAGCCCACCTAGTACGTCCTTGGTCTTTATGCAGGTGGGCGTTTCCAGTTTAAATATCCGCTTGAAGTATATTTCCTAGCCGTCGGTATTTTTAAAACTTGGCTTTATTTTTCCAGAGTTTCTGCTTCTTTAATTTTTGTTGCATCCTGGTAAGATGCACGCTTTTCTAGAAGTAAGTTGCGAGTAATGTAGTTCTGAAAAGATTTTTCCCGTGTCTGATAGTTTTTCCAATAGTTGTTTTCGATTTATTTTATTATTATGAAGTACATCGGTCATTGCCATTCCGAGTGCTGTCATGGCAGACGATGTCAGGTTTTGAGAATCAGAAAAGTGTCCGTCTCTTTTGACGGCATTCGTTGACATCAGATGTGAAATTTACGATTTAAAGCTTGCGGTGTTATCCCTTCAACGTTAGGGTAATCTTTTAACAATTTTTCTTTTATTTCTTTTTTGAGACTCGTGGTAATCCATTTGGACGATCTTGTCAGTAAATCTTTGTTTATTAAGGATTTTGTATCTTTAATCGTAGTCGGGTCATCTCCAAGAATTTCCAAATACTCGGTGTTGAGTTTTCTATTATCGTTTGATTCTGGGTTTTCCTTACTGCTATTTGGATCCGCAGTTTTTGTTGGACCTGGACGTGGATTCTTTGATATTTTTCTTTGGACTTGTCTTGCCTCTCGTGCAAGCTCGTCTGATATTTGATCGACTTTTGACTCACCTCTCGTGTGAGTTCCGTCGTCATTAATGTCTGACACCCTTTCAATGCTTCCATCTTTACTTCTAGTCTGTGATTTTCCTTCGGGAGAAGTGGAGCGACTATATGAACGACTGTAAGGTGGCGTGTATGATTGTGAACGGGAACGATTTTGTGAGCGACTGTACGAACGTCGATGGCGTTTGTTTTCACGACGTTTTATGCTTCGATGTCTTTGATGATCCCTGTCGTGTTGTGACTCTCGGGATTTTCCTCCAGGTGCAGATCCTTCACGTGAAAAACTGCCTCTTAGTGATGAATCTCTGCGTTGACATCGAGTCGTGGGTGAAAATATTGTAAAAATTGTTTGCCCATTATCGGGCTAGGCTTAAAAGTTTCGTAAAAAGAAGTAGTTTTTTTGAAAAAAATCGATTAGTACGTCAAATGAGAAAAATGACTTTTTATCATTAAAACTCAAAAATTTGATAGTAATATCGTTTAAAAAAAAATTTCGATTTTTTTTTGAAAAGTACTTTTAAAAACACACTTTTTTAAAACAAAGACTTTTAAAATTGATGCATTTTTAAGGAAGTTATGAGCATTCAAAAATTAAAAGTCATGAAAATTCTCCAATTTTCAAAATCCCATAACTCGAAAACGGCTTGCTAAAAAAATTTGAACAAATTCATGGAAGCTAGACTCAACGAGTACTAAAAGAAAAAAAAATTTTTTAAAATCGGAGATGCAATTGCAGATGGACTTACACTTTGGCGTGGAATACATCATATATATATTGTTTTCTCTCCTCCCGAGGAAGCTTTGTATTCGTGACGATTTTCGAATTTTTAAAACTGGGATATGGGCTTATTTTTATCTAGAATGCATATATTTAAAGTTTTAAACAAATGTGTGTGTATGAGGGGACGCATGAATATTCCTCAAATTAGACTTGCCGGAATTTTTGTGGTATCGAATTAAAAATTATCGAATTTATATTTTGTAGAATTTAAAAAAAGTAGATTTTATAATGTGCCCAATTTTAATATCGTAAAATTTCTATTTAACGAAATTCTGATTTTGTAGAATTTTTATTAAACTGAACTTTGATAAAGCAGATTTTTTAACACATTGAATTTTCAAGCAACATAATTTCCATTTAACAAAATTTATACTTAAAAAAATTTTCATAAAACAGAATTTAATTTATCAAAATTGTTCTTTTGTCGAATTTCTCTTTATCCGAATATTTTCTTAAAAGTATTTTTATTAACAGAATTTCAGTTAAAAGACTTTCTATATAAAAAAATTCCTATGTAACAAAACTTTAATTGAATTAAATTTCTATTTGATTTAACTTTTATTTAATAGAATTGTCATTTAACAGAAATTTGACTTACCTAATTTTTAAGACAGAGATTTTCTATTTCACCGATATTTCATTTGACAGAAGTTTTACTTATCTGAATTTTCATTCGATAGAATTCTTAAAATGTCGAATTTCCATTTCATCGAGCTTTCACATATCCAATCATACACTTGGCAGACACATTTCAGCGGGAGTTTTAAAATTAACCAATCACAAAATGCAAATTTTTTTTGTGTGATTTTTTGCAAAAAAATGTTGTGGCAAAGTTTTGCAATTTTTTATTTTTTCCCGCTTATAGCACATAAAATACGTCACTACTTTAAATCTGAACCAAAAAATTTTATTTTTTAGAAAGTTATGGCGATTTTTATTTTGCCGCATATCCTTCTTATTATATTAAGTTCTGAAACGACGGACACCAACCAACACAAAAAAAATTTTTCGTTTTCATTCATAAATAATTTACATATTTATTTTAAAATTTAAAATCACATGCCATACATACATGTCTATTCGAAAAAATGCAAATTTTTTTTGTGCGATTTTTTGCAAAAAACCGTTGTTGCAATTTTTTGAAAATTTTTATTTTTTCCCGCTAAATATAGCACATAAAATACGTCACTACTTTAAATCTGAACCAAAAAATTTTATTTTTTAGAAAGTTATGGCGATTTTCATTTTGACGCATATCCATCTTATTATATTAAGTTCTAAAATGACCGACTCCAAAACAAAAGTTTTCGTTTTCTTTTATAAATAATTTACAGATTTATTTTAAAATGTAAAATCACATGCCTTACATACATATCTATCCGAAAAAATGCAAATTTTTTTGTGCGATTTATTGCAAAAAAACGTTGTTGCAATTTTTTGAAAATTTTTATTTTTTCCCGCTAAATAGCACATAAAATACGTCACTATTTTAAATCTGAGCCAAAAAATTTTATTCTTCAGAAAGTTTAGGGTGGTTATTTCCTTGATATTGAGGCAATAAAACGTGCTACTTGGGAATGTATGTAATTTATTTCATTATAAAATTGAAAAATATTTTTCTAAAATGTACAATTTCGTAAGACAATACACATTATTATTTTTAAAAAAATTTTTTAATTGATTTAAAAAATGAAATTTAATCATTAAAAATTACCACAAAATTAAAATTTTTTTAAAAATTTTATAAATGCTCAATAAAATATAGGTTACTTTTAAACCCTTTTATTTAAACCTGTAGTAAATTTTATTAAATTTCGCAAATAGATAATTTTAAAAATATATTTAAAAAATAAAATATAATTAGAAGAATTTATTACAAAATTAAAAAATATTTTTTTAGAATTTTAGAAACTAATTTAAAAATTATTACTGAATAAAAACATATTTTTAAAAAGGCATTAAATAATTTAGTTTAATATACAATACAGATTATTATTTAAAAAATTTTTTTTAATTAATTTAAAAAATGAAATTTAATCATTAAAAATTACCACAAAATTAAATTTTTTTAAAAATTTTATAAATTCCCAAAAAAATATAGGTTACTATTAAACACTTTTTATTTAAACCTGTATTAAATTTTCTTTAAATTTCGCAAATAAACAATTTTAAAAATATATTTAAAGAATAAAATATAATTATAATAAATTATTACAAAATTAAAAAATATTTTTAAAAAATTTTAGAAATTAATTTCTTTTTAAACTAAGCATTTTAATTATCTTCAAAAAAATGTCAAAAATTTTTTTTAATTATTTATTTTAAATACCTGAAAAATAATCTTCCTTTAGTCGATGGCTCAAAATATTTGAGTTAATATTAATTGATTATTTTATTATTATAATATATTAATAATTATTATCGATTATAATTAATTGTTTTTATCTGTATCCATTTCCTTGCTTCTTTCCACAAACATCTGTCAAACGTGTTGACAAAATACTTGCGGGAATGAAGTTAGCAAATAATCAGTTCAGACAAAATCGAAACAGCATTATAAAATTTTATTTAAATAATTATTTTCAAATTTTAATTTCTTATACTTTTTTTACAACAAAAATCTTTTAATATTATTTAAACTATAATATTAAAATAAAAATCTATAACCCGAAAACAATAATTATAAAAAGGTTGTGTTAGTTTTGAATTTATAATACGATTCGCGGGTGACTCATTAACTGCGATCTGCAGTAGACTATTAGACTTTTTTCAGTACATACAAATCCATAGTATCAATTGTATCATGTATAATATTATTACTCGTCTTAAATACAATTCAGTTAATTACTAGCTTCCCTGTTTTCGATCTCAACCTCTAACAGGTTATGGGCCCAGGCCAAAACTTTTAATTACCTATTATTTGTGAGTAAAGTGCTGAAAAGTGTAAAAATTTCGGGAACGCTATGTTTTAAGGTTAGGTCTCGGCGTGGCATGTCGATGTGTAAAAACCTGTGAAACGAATCTGAAACAAAATGAGTTCGTCTAGCTTTGCCCGAATAGATACACTAAACAAGGAGAATTATGATACATGGAAGATGTAGATGGAAGCTCTTCTTATCAAAAACGATGCATGGGGCTACGTAAATGGTGAAACCTGAAGTCGTTGAAGGGGACGCCGCGAGTGCTGCAACAGTGAAAGCGTGGATAACCGGTGATAGCAAAGCGAAATCGGATATTAGTTTATCGATACATCCCTCAGAACTTAAACAAATTAAGGGATGTGCGACTTCGCGGGAAGTCTGGTTGAAGCTGGAATCGATATTTCAGTCAAAAGTTCCGGCTCGGAAAGCCACCCTAATTAAACAGCTCACCTTGCAGCGAATGGACGACGGCGATGATACACGGGAACATGTGCGAAAATTTTTTGACGCGAAAGACAAGCTCGGTGAAATGGATGTTGAAGTGAATCCCAATTTGCTTTCGATTTTATTGTTCTATAGTTTGCCCACATCTTTTGAAAATTTCAGGTGCGCCATAGAATCGCGCGATACACTCCCCGCGCCGGAAGATTTACGAATTAAAATCATCGAGGAGAGTGACGCACGAAAAAACGAACCGTTCAAAACGCGATGTTCGCGAAGAAAAAGTCGAAATTTCAAAAGAGTGCAGCATTCAATAAAAATTGTGATAATAAAGTGGAATTTAAATTTCGGTGTCACAGATGTAAAGAATTTGGACACAAAGTCGCGGAATGCACGAATCGGAAAGACGAAAGAAGTCGACAATACGCGAAGAAAGCCGACGATGTTGTTTTGTGCGCGATTGAAAGTTTTGTCGAAGCACGACGACGAATCAAAACCACCATTCAGAGAGTTAGTGGGTGCTCTTATGTATCTTGCTGTGGCCACGAGGCCGGATATTGCTCATGCTGTGAGCGCTCTCAGTCAATTCAACTCCAGCTTCGGTCAAACACATTGGACAGCGCAAAACGCGTTTTGAGGTACCTTAAAGGTACAATAAATCTAGGACTCTCTTATCAGTCATCGGAAGGTCAATTGGAAGGATTCGTTGATGCGGACTGGGCCAGCTGTTTAGTCGATAAAAAGTCATACACCGGGTATGTCTTTACTTTGAATCGTGGCGCTATTTCCTGGAATTCCTGCAAACAGAAAACAATAGCGCTCTCTTCAACAGAGGCCGAGTACATGGGATTGGCCGAAATAACAAAAGAAGCAATCTACCTTCGAGGATTCTTGTTAGAATTCGGATTCAGAGGTCCAGAAGCAGTCAAGATTTCCAACGACAACATGGGGGCCCTAAAGTTATCCGAAAATCCTGTTTTTCACACGAGAAGCAAACATATTGATGTGAGACATCATTTTATACAGGATTCATTGAAAAACGGACTCATAAAAATCAATTATCTGCCCACCGAAGCCATGGTCGCTGATATCCTTACAAAAGGTTTGCCTGTTCCAAAACATCGAAATTGTGTTCAATTGCTGAGATTAGAAGAAGTTTAAGTGTTATCGAAAAATAGTCACTCTCGCTTTCGAGAGAAAGTGTTAGTTTTGAATTTATAATACGATTCGCGGGTGACTCATTAACTGCCATCTGCAGTAGACTATTAGACTTTTTTCAGTACATACCAATCCGTTGTATCAATTGTATCATGTATAATATTATTACTCGTCTTAAATACAATTCAGTTAATTACTAGCTTCCCTGTTTTCGATCTCAACCTCTAACAGGTTGTTACTAAAAAAACATTTTTTCATTTCTTTATATTCAAGTTAATATTTTTTAATGGGGTATGGCTAAGATTTTAAGTTAGTCTAATACCTAAAAAAATGCCAAGTTTCACTTAAATCGGTCAAGCTGTTTATGCGTAATTGGCGAACAAAATATTGTGCAGACAGACAGACAGACAGTGTTTTTTATAATGCTATTTTTAGAATCCTTATGACTTGAAACGAAGAATTATACATGAATTTTTAAGTTCTAATCAATGTAAAGACAAAAGTCTAATTTTATTAATATAGATTTACAGTTTTGTTTCAAAATTTAAAATCACATGGCTTAAATACATGCCTATTCGAAAAAATGCCAAATTTTTTTTGTGTGATTTTTTGCAAAAAAATGTTGTTACTATTTTTTGCAATATTTTATTTTTTTCCGTTAAATAGCACATAAAATACGTCACTATTTTAAATTTTAGCCAAAAAATTTTATTTTTCTTTCTCGTGGAGGAAGCTTTGTAGTCCTTTCGTTTATAAAACTTTTCAAAGTGGCGGAAACAAATTTTTTTCTTTATAGAAACATGTTATATGAGATCGTGATCAATTGTCCGGATGTATGAATGTGTGTGTGTGTGTGGATCTCTTTTTTGTTTAGAAGATAACTTTAACAGGTTTTAATGGATTTAGATAAAATTTGGTAGGTTCATTTATCATATTAATATCTCAAATCTGACCAAAGAATTTAAAAAAATTCCCAAAAAAAAAATTTTATCTTTTTTTTCCATAAATTTTTTTTTCATAAAAAAAAATTTTAAATAGAAAAATTTAAGGTTACATATAATAAAATTGTATTCCTTTAGTCAAGACAAATCGATCGGTATATATAAAGTATAGTTTTAATTTAAATTTAAACAATTATTGAATGTTAAAAAATCAAAAATTCACATTTTGGCTATAAAATTTTGTGATTATTTAAATTTAAATTTATTGATGAAATAATTGTATTTCTTACATGAAAACGAATCGATTAGTATATATATATAAAATTTGTATTTGAGGTAAAGTTAATAAATTAATTAAAGTTAAAAAATAGAAAATACACATTTTAGCTGAAAAATTTTATATTTATTTAAATTCAAGTTTAAATATAAAATAATTGTGTTTCTTGCATTAAAACGAATCGATATAAATGTAAATAATTATGTATTATTTTTCATTAATATTTAGAAATCTCGGTTAAAATATGAATTTTTGATTTTTTAATTTCCATTAATTCTTTAAATTTAACTCAAATGTATAGGTACTCAAATGTTTATATTATTATATTATTTTTGTATGTTTATTTCAATGTTAATGCTTTTTCCACGAGGAAGCAAACTTTTTTGCTGATCGTAAAGAGGAAGCAAAATGTTCATGTAATGAACATCTGAATTTACAACTTGATTAATGAATACTCAAAAATTATTTTTTTATAATTTGTGATCCATTTAATGATCTTTTATAATAAAACTTTATGGCTTTCGTTTCCGGTACTGATTTGATGTACACGCGATTTTTGGTAGTGCTAAGAATTTTTATTATTTTCTGTGATTATTGAGGGTAGGGCGGTTAAATTTGTTGTGAAAGGGTGAGTTGAAGTGCAAGGTGTAAGTGGAAACATAGTGTGTGTGTGTGCTTGGTGGTGGAGTCGTGAAAAAGGTAAAAAAGAGTGGCTGTGCGGTAGTGTGGAGGTTAGGATACGTGTGTGAGGTGCGAGAGAGAAAGTGTGAGGTGAGAAAAGGAAAGTAGCTGAAGGCGAGTCTTTAAGTTAGGGTCGACTATGTTGAGAACGCCGGAAAAGAGCGCCTGTGGGTGGGGGGGAAGGAGGGACAAAGCTGCGGATAGGGAGGGAGAGGAGAGTGAGAAAATAAATATCATTGAGACGGAGAAGGTAGAGACAGGGGCGGACAATGAGTGCGGTGAAGAGGAGGTTTTTGGAACCCCGACTCTGAAGAGAAGCGACTCACTGCTCTCTTTGCCGGATTACGTAAACTTCGCAGAAAGAAGAAGGGGAAGGCCATCGAAAAAAGAATTAGAGTTAAAGTCAAGATGGATAAATGACAAAAGGTGGGCAGCTATGTTGCAGCAGAAAGTAAGTGAAAGGAAAGAGGAGAGGAAGGAAAGTTTGGAGATGGATGATGAAACGGGGGATGAGACGGAGAAGGGAAATAATGAAGCAGGAGGAATAACAGGAAATTTAGGGGAGTTAGTGGAGACGTTGGTGAAGATGGGGGAGGAGACAAATAAAAGGATGGAGGATCTGAGTAGAGAACTGAAAGATGGAAGAATTGAAGATAGAGAAAAGGAAAAAATAAGAGAGTGGAATGTCTGGAGTTGGAAGGTGTAGAGGATGGTATAAGGCAGAAAAGAGAGGGTACATACGGTGAAGGGTTGGAAGCGAAAGTAAGAGAATTAAGTAAGCAAGTAGAGCAGTTGGAGAGGGAGAAGAGAAAATGCGGGATAGTGGTAAGGGGGTTAAAAGTGAAGAGAGAAGAAGGAAGAGCGAAAATAGAGAAAATATTGGAGGAAATAGGAGCAAGGGCGAACATCAGAAGTATCAGAGGAATAGAGGAGGAAAGTAAAGATATTCCAAAGGTATGGTTGGTGCAGCTGGAGAGTGAAGAAGAGAGAAGAAATGTAATGGAGAATAAGAAGAAGTTGAAGGGAAGACAAGAGAGAATAGACGAGGATAAGACATGGATGGAGAGAAAAAATGAGTGGCTGTTAAGAGATAAGGCGTGGGAGGAAAGAAGAAAGGGTAAGGTGGTAAGAGTGGGTAGGGAGTGTATATGGGTAGAGGGGGTAAGAGTTGCATTGAAGGAAATAAAGGCAGGAGCGGAAAGAAAGGAAAATGTGGGGTTTGGAGTAACAGTGGAGAGCAAAGAGGCGTAAGGAGCAAAGGGAGTGTAAAAGTGGGGTTCTGGAATATTGGAGGATGGAAAAGTAAGGATGAAGGATTTTGGAAGGCGATATGGTTGGGATTTATAGGAGAAGAGGAGAGGAAGAAGAATGGAGAAATTTGGAGAAGATAATGGAATATAGTAAAAACAGATTGGTGCTAATGGGGGGGGGGGGATTTTAATGCATGGACTGGAGAGCTGGGAGGAGGTGATTGGAACGAGGAAGCAAATAAATATGAAAGGAGGTCCAGACACAAGGAGGTGGATAGTGAGGGGAAGAGGTTAATAGAGTTGGTCCAGGATTATGGTTAGACGATTTGCAACGGAAATATAAAGGGGGATGAAGAGGGAGAATTCACGTTTATGGGGAGGGGGGATACAGTTATCGATTATGTCCAGACCACTTTCCGATAACGGTAGAGATAGGGAGGGAGGGATATAAGAGAGATGTAACAAGGAAAAAAGAGTGGAGAGAAGGGAAAGTAAAGATGGGAAAATGGAGTGCAGTGAAATTAAAGTTGTTTGAAAGAAGGTTGCAGGAGGAATGGATAAGAGGAAGAGAAGAAGAAAAGGTCGATGAGAGAATAGAACGAGTAAGGAAGAATATTGAAAAGCTAAAGAAGGACATGGGAAAGGAGGTAGATGGGGAAGAAAAAAAGGAAAGGGTGGGATGAGGAGGGTGCTGCGAGTAGGAATCGGATGAAGATAAACATTAAAGAGTGGAGGAAAGATAGAATCAGCAGGGAAGAGTACAAGAGGAGACAGAGAGATCATGGGAAGATGCTGAAGTATAAGAAAGAGGAGGAGAGAAAAAGATTTATGGAAGAGGTGGAAAAGGCGGTTAGAGAGGGGAGGGAGTGGGAAGTGATAAATAGGGAAAGAAAAAGGAGAGAAATGGTAGATAGGAGCATTGGAATGGGGGAATGGACGAAATATTTTAAAGGATTAAGTGGTGGAGTGGACAACAGAGTGGTGGGTGAGAGAAGAAAAGTGACGCAAGAGGATGGGATTACTGAGATAAGCATGAAGGAGGTGGAAGTAGCGATATCTGGGTTGAAAAGAAACAAGGCAGCTGGTCAGGATGAAATTGAAGCGGAGAGTATGAAATACGGGGGGGAGGTGGTAAAAAGAGAAATGCTGGATATTTTAAATAAGGTGTGGAAAGGAGAGGGGTGGCCAAAGGATTGGAATTTGGGGTTAATAGTACCGTTGGTAAAAAAGGGATAAGGGAAGAAAGTGGAAGACTACAGGGGGATCTCATTGATGCCGGTGGGTTACAAAATTTATGGGGAAATTTTAAGGAAAAGGCTGGAAGAGAACATTGAGAGGGTGGGGGGAATTCCACACAATCAGGCGGGTTTTAGAAAAGGGATGAGGACGATGGATTACATATATACACTAAATTATTTAATAAACAGAAATTTAAAAAGGGAGAAAGGGAAATTACTGGGGTTATTTGTGGATTTTAAAGCGACATTCCCATCGGTTAACAGGAGGATCTTGTGGAAAACACTAAAGGAGAGGGGTATAGAGGATGGACTGATAGAGAGTGTAAAAGAATTGTATATCGATGTTAGGGCAAGGGTAAGGGTTGGGGAGGAATTAGGGGAACTGTTCTGGATGGGAAGAGGTCTACTACAGGGCTGCCCGCTGAGTCCATTACTGTTTAGTCTTTTAATGGTGGATTTGGAGGAGAGGATGAAAAAGACAGGAAAGGGAGAAGTAGTGTTGGGTACAGGAAGAATGTTTTCGCTTGCGTACGCGGATGATGTTGTGTTGCTGGCTGAAAGTGAAAGTGGGATGCGATTGTTGATGAAAGAATTTGAGAGCTATGTGAGAGCGAAA